CACTCATTGAATACAATACAAGTTAATTTCAATCAATTTTCGATATTATTGTATTGAATCCACAAAAGCATCTGTTAGGGCAACAAATAAAAGATTGTAGATCTCAAAGAAATTTTCCAGATTTTCATGCATTCATTTACATTAATCAATCAAAATGGAAGAACAGAAACTGCTAATCATCTGTAGGTGCGAAACTACAAAGATTAAAGAGTAAAAGAAGAACCAGGCCTGGAAATTTTAGAATCAAATTTACACAAATTCATCTTCCATAGTTCCTCTGGATCAAACAGCAGCAAACACTTCGATAATTAAGATAGGAACTAGTTAAAATACCTTGGCAACATAGTCCATTTCCGCGAATTTGAATGCGATGCCCAAGCAACCAAAAAGAGGGGAAATAAAGGAGCAGGCGCGAGAAAACGGCGCAACCTCGACCGCGGTGGTTTCAGCATTTACAGTGGCGGCAAGGGCTTTGAACGATTCTGAAATGTTTCGCAGCGGCTTTTCGCCGACGTTCAGGTCCGCCATAACTAAAGACGAAGGTGCCCGTCTCTCACTCCGGGCAGTTTGCCTGAGTCGGTTCTCCGAATGTTCTTTGCCTGTAGTTGACGCAGCCTGCCGTCTAGAATATAAAACTGTACGGGCCGGGTCTGATTTTATGGGTTGACACGACTTCCTGATCCGACCCGATTTCTTGTCTGATTTTCTCCGAATGTTCTTTGCCTGTATAGTCTACACACGACCAACACGTGCGAGTAGGGACCCACCAGTTGGTTTGCACACCTCTTGAGCCCCTTTCTTAGTCGGGCTAGCATTCTCTAGAGCTGTTGTTGTCAGACATCCATTAAGAATAGCGACCGTCGCAACATTATAACAAATATAATGATCATTTTCCTGTCTCGTAGTGTATGCGTTTGTGCCATCATAAAAAGAGGGGAATCCCTCGATGCATGAACACACAATAATGTATGAGATCCCAACATTTTCATTCATTATCATGTAAAACAACTCCCTTTCGTTTTCCTTCATATCGTATCATTTTACAACATAGCCTTTAAGACATGTATCGGAGTTGAATCTCGTATAATTCATATCATACTTGGTCTTATTTCATATCTTGCACATAACATGTCCTTCGACGTATCATATCATATCATAAAACACGTCACAATATGTATTGTATTGTTAAACGTGTTATACCATAACATATACGTATCTGCAGTACGTTACATCAACATAACATATTACTGACATTTCATAGTCATATCATTTCATAGACACATCATAGTCATATTGTCTCATGCACATATCAAAATCATATTGTTTCATGAACACATCATAGTCATATCGTTTCATGCACACGTCATAAACATATCATAGTCATATTATTTTATAAACATATCGTTTCATGAACACATCATAATGACGGGTGTGCCAGTAAGTTTGTTTAGTTTCTTTTTCTTTTATATATATTTTAAAAATATCTTAATATTTTATTTTATTATTGTTAGTTTCTTATATAAATATTTTAAAAATGCCTTAATATTTCATACTATTTTAAAATACATTATTTAGAATATAAATAAATTATTTTGACTTAACTAATCGAACCCAACCCAATCCAAAAATAGATGGTTGGGTTGTAAAAATTTTCGAGTTGGGTTGGGTTACCAATCTAACCAACCCGAACTTTTGGTTAAATAAAAAAAATCCCTCAACCCAACCTAACCCGGACCATGTATACCCCTATATATATCCATTCGACTATAATAGAACATCTCTAATTATGAACTCTTGTAGGTGAGACTTATTGATTTGTGTGGACGATAATAAATTTTGTACAGATTAAGTAAGCCTACAATTTCGATACTTAGTTCATCATTCGATCATTAAAAAAAACGTGAGATGAATTTTTAATTCAACTATAATTGCAAACAATTCGAGAAAGATCGATTTGCTTATAATGATTATATCCATATACATAAGGTGCTACCGTGCGTAAGAGTTCAACTATAAATCTATAGTAGAAGGACCTATTTAATAACTAAAAATTGATTAATTAAATAATTTAATTAATTAATTTATGCTAGCTTGTAATAATAATAAAATGACTAATTTTTTTAAAAAATATTTAAATTAATATTTAATATTTAATATATATATTAAATATAATATATTTTAAAAACTTATTAATACCACTTGACAGCCTAACTTTGATGTAATATTGTCGTCTTTGGACTTTCAGTTTCGGGCTTCCACTCAAGGCTTTAAAACGTGTATGTTAGGGAAAGGTTTCCACACCCTTATAAAGGGTGTTTCGTTTTCCTCCCCAACCAATGTGAGATACCTTCAAGGCTCAGCGTCCTTGCTAGCACTCGTTCCTTTCTCCAATCGATGTGAGATCACCACCAAATCCACCCCCTTTGAGGCCCAACGTCCTTATTGGCACACCGCCTCGTGTCTACCCCCTTTAGGAAACAACCTCATCGTTGGCACATCGCCCAGCGTCTGGCTCTAATACCATTTGTAACGGCCGAGACCACAGGTAGCAAATATTGTCCTCTTTGGGTTTTCCCTTTCAGGCTTCCCCTCAAGGCTGTAAAACGCGTCTACTAGCCAAAGGTTTTCACATCCTTATAAAAGGGTGTTTTGGTCTCCTCCCTCAACCAATGTGAGATACCTTCAGGGCTCAGCGTCCTCGTTGACACTCGTTCCTTTCTCCAATCGATGTGGGACCACCACCAAATCCATCCCCCCTTTGAGGCCCAACGTTCTTACTAGCACACCGTCTCATCTTTACCCCCCTTCGAGAAATAGCCTCCTCGCTCACACATCGCTCGGCGCCTAGCTCTGATACCATTTGCAATGGTCCAGGCCCACCAGTAGCAGATATTGTCCTCTTTGGGATTTTCCTTTCGAATTTCTTGTCAAGGCAAGATTTCCCCACCCTTATAAAAGTATTTCATTCTCCTCCCCAACCAATGTGAGATATCTTCAGGGTTCAGCGTCCTTGTTGGCACTCATTTCTTTCTTCAATCGGTGTGGGACCACCACCAAATCCACCCCCTTCAGGGCCCAATATCCTTACTGGCACACCACCTCGTGTCTACCCTCCTTCGGGGAACAGCCTCCTGGTTGGCACATCGCTCAGCTCATGGCTCTTATACCATTTGTAATGATCTAGGCCCACCGATAGCAGATACTATCCTCTTTGAACTTTCCCTTTTAAGCTTCCCCTCAAGGCTTTAAAACGCGTCTGCTAGAAAAATGTTTCCACACCCTTCTAATCGGTGTTCATTCTCCTCCCCAACAAATGTGGCATATCACAATACTTTTTTTATCCCAATGGTTTCTCAGAGATAGTCTATGAAGTATGTATTGTAATATATAACTACCCAATTAAGACTACTTGTTGAATATATATCTATACTCACTTACTACTCTTATTTTCCATAGATGTATTGTGATATGTAACTACCCGATTAAACTACTTATTGAATATATATTTATACTCATTTACTACTCTTATTTTTCAGATTGATGAGGAATGAATAGGTCAATGATGGTACGCTATCGGGGATCAATAGATCCAAAGTTATGATCCATATTTCATGTATTTTGTGTCCTTCATATTTGTGTTCTATTGTATTCGTTTGTCGTTTTAATATATAAACTTTAAATATACTTAATTTTTTTGACGTCGTGATTAACCATGAAAATACGAAGAACAAACATAAATTTTAGGAAAAAGAAATTTAAAAACCAAATCTTTATCAAAGAGAACCACTAGATCCGAAGTTTTAAGCCAATTTTCATGTATTTTATTTCGTTTGTATTTGTTGTCTTATTTTTCTTTGTGATTAACATCACAATCCGAAGAAACAAACCTAAATGGTAACGGTCTAAGCCCACCATTAGTAGATATTGTGCTCTTTGAGCTTTTCTTTTCAGACTTCCCCTCAAAGTTTTTAAAACCCGTTTGTTGGGGAAAGGCCTCAAGACCTTTATAAAAATGTTTCGTTCTCCTCCCTAACCGATGTAAGATCTCACCGTCCACCCCGTTCAGGACCCAACGTCCTCGCTGACACTCATTCCCTTCTCCAATCTATGTGGGATCCCCCAATCCACCCCCTTCGGACCCAACGTCCTTGCTGACACACTGCCTTACGTCCATCCCCTTCGAGGCTCAATTTCTTCGTTGGCACATCGCCCAATTTCTAACTCAGATACCATTTTTTTCCAATCTATGTGGGATCCCCCAATCCACCTCCTTCCGGCCTAGTGTCATTGCTGGCACATCACCTAATGTCCACCCTCTTCCGGGCTTAGTCTCTTCCTTGACATATCGCCTAGTGTCTATCTCTGATACCATTTGTAACGGTTCAAGCTAAAATAAGGCAATATCTACTAGTGGTGTACTTGAATTGTTCCACAAATTTTGAAAAAAAAAAAATTAAAAGCGAATTCCTTACCAAACAAAATTTATTTATTGATTCTTTATCGAATTTAATTTGAATTTCCAATATTGATCCAATGTAATTGGTATAGGTTCATTGTTAACCACGACAGCTCCGTTGAAACCAATACCAATTTGCATGCCATCGCTCTCATTATTGGCATATCAAAGCGTTAATAAGAGGTAGTTGGTTTGATAAGGCTAAACATTTTGACAAGTGGAACCTAATACTCATTATAGCTAGCGATTGACTTTTAAGGGCCCCTTTTCCATAAATGTGAAGGTCTTTTGGCTACTTTTCTAGTTAGGAAACGTGCGTAGATTCAAATGAGCGTTTTCATTGTTTAATCACCTATGTCGCTAGCAAAAATTGTCCTCGTTAGACTTTCCCTTTCAGGCTTCCCTAAAAAATTTTAAAACGAATCCTACCTGAATAGTTATGTTCTGTAAACCGTTGTTGTTATCTTTTTGCTTATAGGTAGGCGATACAAGAACAAATTAGGGAGAGGGTTCCACACCCTTATAAAAGGTACACATTTGATTGTTAGTTGCCGCTTTTCTAATGGAAAACCCTCCAAAGCTTCCATTGAAGTTTCAAATCCTTCTCCGTCTCCACTCATTCGCCTCCTCCATCGGTCGCCGCCCTAACATCACTGTCAACCGTTGCTTAACAAACCTCTTCGACCCCAAATTTTCTCCATCTTCTAAACCCAACAATGGCGTTTCGACTCACGACATTGTTTTCGACCCCTCTCGCAATCTCTGGTTTCGTCTCTTTGTTCCATCTTCGGTTTCTGATGATGTTAGTCTACCTGTTGTAGTGTACTTTCACGGCGGCGGGTTTGTGTTTTTTTCTGCTAATTCGATGCCGTACGATGATCTTGGTCGGAGACTTGCACGTGACCTCCGTGTTGTCGTTGTATCGGTCAATTATCGTCTCTCTCCCGAGCACCGGTATCCACTTCCCTATGAAGATGGATTTGATGGTTTGAAATTTCTCGATGAAATGGGTTTTGATTCTGTCGTTTTTCCGGCTAAAGCTGATCTTGGTCGGTGTTTTCTCGCCGGAGATAGTGCCGGTGGCAACTTGGCCCACCACGTCGCCGTCAGAGCAGCTGGTTATGACTTCAAGAAGGTTTGTGATGTTGGACGGAGTTTAATTTTTGTGTTTTTAATAGGTCCCATAGTTTAAATGCTTCAATATTTTCTATATAATTTAGCAAACTTTACTATAGTCTTAATTTTTTTTTAGATATTTCCAATATTTACTGTTATAGATTCGAAATCTCGGACTATAAGTATATAAGAATTGGATAAATTGAATTGGAGAAATCTTTATGGGTCGACCCGAAATTTCAAGTTGATTGGGTTGAGACCCGAACAACTGAAATCATTTATAACATAACTCAAACCAACCTTTTATTTTTAGGTATTTCCTATAGTTACAGTTAGAGATTCAAAATCTCGCACTAAAAGTATACCTGAGTTGGGTTGAGTTAGATTGAAGAAATTTTTATGGCTCGACCCGAAATTTCAAGCTGATTGGGTTGGTGACCCGAACAACTGAAATCGTTTCCAACTTAACTCAAACCAACCTTCTGTTTTTAGGTATTTCCTATAGTTACAGTTAGAGATTCAAAATCTCGCACTAAAAGTATACCTGAGTTAGGTTGAATTAGATTGAAGAAATATTTATGGGTCGACCCGAAATTTCAAGCTGATTGGGTTGGTGACCCAAACAATTGAATTGTTCACAACCTAACTCAAACCAACCTTCTGGTTAGGTATTTCCTATAGTTACAGTTAGAGATTAAAAATCTCGCACTAAAAGTATACCTAAGTTGGGTTGAGTTAGATTGANGAAATTTTTATGGGTCGACCCGAAATTTCAAGCTGATTGGGATGGTGACCCGAACAACTGAAATCGTTCACAACCTAACTCAAATCAACCTTCTGTTTTTAGGTTTTTCCTATAGTTACAGTTAGAGATTCAAAATCTCGCACTAAAAGTATACCTGAGTTGGGTTGAGTTAGATTGAAGAAATCTTTATGGGTCGACCCAAAATTTCAAGTTGATTGGGTTGGTGACCCAAACAACTGAAATCGTTCACAAACTAACTCATACCAACCTTCTGTTTTTAGGTATTTCCTATAGTTACACTTATAGATTCAAAATCTCGCACTAAAAGTAGACCTGAGTTGGGTTGAATTAGATAGAAGAAATCTTTATGGGTCGACCCGAAATTTTAAGCTGATTGGGTTGGTGACCCGAACAACTGAAATCGTTTACAACCTAACTCAAACTAACCTTTTGTTTTTAGGTATTTCCTATAGTTACCGTTAGAGATTCAAAATCTCCACTAAAAGTAGACCTGAGTTGGGTTGAGTTAGATTGAAGAAATTTTTATGGCTCGACCCGAAATTTCAAGCTGATTGGGTTGGTGACCCGAACAACTGAAATCGTTTCCAACTTAACTCAAACCAACCTTCTGTTTTTAGGTATTTCCTATAGTTACAGTTAGAGATTCAAAATCTCGCACTAAAAGTATACCTGAGTTAGGTTGAATTAGATTGAAGAAATATTTATGGGTCGACCCGAAATTTCAAGCTGATTGGGTTGGTGACCCAAACAATTGAATTGTTCACAACCTAACTCAAACCAACCTTCTGGTTAGGTATTTCCTATAGTTACAGTTAGAGATTAAAAATCTCGCACTAAAAGTATACCTAAGTTGGGTTGAGTTAGATTGAAGAAATTTTTATGGGTCGACCCGAAATTTCAAGCTGATTGGGATGGTGACCCGAACAACTGAAATCGTTCACAACCTAACTCAAATCAACCTTCTGTTTTTAGGTATTTCCTATAGTTACAATTAGAGATTCAAAATCTCGCACTAAAAGTATACCTGAGTTGGGTTGAGTTAGATTGAAGAAATCTTTATGGGTCGACCCAAAATTTCAAGTTGATTGGGTTGGTGACCCAAACAACTGAAATCGTTCACAAACTAACTCATACCAACCTTCTGTTTTTAGGTATTTCCTATAGTTACACTTATAGATTCAAAATCTCGCACTAAAAGTAGACCTGAGTTGGGTTGAATTAGATAGAAGAAATCTTTATGGGTCGACCCGAAATTTTAAGCTGATTGGGTTGGTGACCCGAACAACTGAAATCGTTTCCAACTTAACTCAAACCAACCTTCTGTTTTTAGGTATTTCCTATAGTTACAGTTAGAGATTCAAAATCTCGCACTAAAAGTATACCTGAGTTAGGTTGAATTAGATTGAAGAAATATTTATGGGTCGACCCGAAATTTCAAGCTGATTGGGTTGGTGACCCAAACAATTGAATTGTTCACAACCTAACTCAAACCAACCTTCTGGTTAGGTATTTCCTATAGTTACAGTTAGAGATTAAAAATCTCGCACTAAAAGTATACCTAAGTTGGGTTGAGTTAGATTGAAGAAATTTTTATGGGTCGACCCGAAATTTCAAGCTGATTGGGATGGTGACCCGAACAACTGAAATCGTTCACAACCTAACTCAAATCAACCTTCTGTTTTTAGGTTTTTCCTATAGTTACAGTTAGAGATTCAAAATCTCGCACTAAAAGTATACCTGAGTTGGGTTGAGTTAGATTGAAGAAATCTTTATGGGTCGACCCAAAATTTCAAGTTGATTGGGTTGGTGACCCAAACAACTGAAATCGTTCACAAACTAACTCATACCAACCTTCTGTTTTTAGGTATTTCCTATAGTTACACTTATAGATTCAAAATCTCGCACTAAAAGTAGACCTGAGTTGGGTTGAATTAGATAGAAGAAATCTTTATGGGTCGACCCGAAATTTTAAGCTGATTGGGTTGGTGACCCGAACAACTGAAATCGTTTACAACCTAACTCAAACTAACCTTTTGTTTTTAGGTATTTCCTATAGTTACCGTTAGAGATTCAAAATCTCCACTAAAAGTAGACCTGAGTTGGGTTGAGTTAGATTGAAGAAATTTTTATGGCTCGACCCGAAATTTCAAGCTGATTGGGTTGGTGACCCGAACAACTGAAATCGTTTCCAACTTAACTCAAACCAACCTTCTGTTTTTAGGTATTTCCTATAGTTACAGTTAGAGATTCAAAATCTCGCACTAAAAGTATACCTGAGTTAGGTTGAATTAGATAGAAGAAATCTTTATGGGTCGACCTAAAATTTCAAGTTGATTGGGTTGGTGACCCAAACAACTGAAATCGTTTACAACCTAACTCAAACTAACCTTTTGTTTTTAGGTATTTCCTATAGTTACAGTTAGAGATTCAAAATTTCGCACTAAAAGTATACCGGAGTTGAGTTGAATGAGATTGAAAAATTCTTTATGGGTCGATGCAAAATTTCAAGCTGATTGGGTTGGTGACCTGAACAACTTAAATCGCTCACAACCTAACTCAAACCAACCTTCTATTTTTAGGTATTTCCTATAGTTACAATTAGAGATTCAAAATCTCGCACTAAAAGTATGGATCAACTCAAAATTTCGTTTTGATTGAGTTGGTGACCGGAACAACTAGAATAGAGTTTACAATCTAACTCAAACCAATTTTTTGTTTTTAGGGTTGTTTGTTATTTTTTTTAATTATTTAAAAAATCATATTTATGTACGGTACATATACATTAATAACCAAAATCTATAAATCTCAAACATTAAATATTCATAAGTTACCTAACGGGTTACAAATGTCAAATATTTTTAGTCTTCCTAATAATTTTAGAAGTAGAGTAAAGTTGAGTTGGGTTGTAACCCTATTTTTCAGGTTGTGGGATTGATCCAACCAAAAAAATTTCAACTCACAAACGGAGCCAAATTTTCGTTTTTCCAAAAAATTCAACCGAACAAAAATCGAAAAAAATCTAACCCAGCTCCATTTTTATGATTTGTGCCGGATAGTCTGAGTTGATCGAGTAATTAATTCGGTCATATGAACATCTCTAGTCCGCACGCTCACCAATAGAACTCAAAATGTATGTTTTATTTGATACGATGACGACAATGACGATGACGATGACGATGACGATGACGATATTATATTAGGTGAACATCAAAGGCTTAATAGCAATACAACCATTTTTTGGCGGAGAGGAGAGAACAAATTCAGAGGTTCAATTCAGCAAATCCCCAATGTTAAGCTTGGAACAAGCTGATTGGTACTGGAAAGCATTTTTGCCAGATGGGTCCAATAGAAACCACCCAGCTGCACACGTGTTCGGCGCCGGTGCCGGAGACCTTCCCGGCGAGAAGTTTCCGACGACGCTGCTAATCGTGGGAGGACGAGACCAGTTACGAGATTGGGGGATGAAGTACTACGAGTGGCTTAAAGAGAGTGATAAAGAAGTGGATTTGGTTGAATATCCAAATGCCATCCATGGGTTTTATGCTGTTCCTCAGCTCAAGGATTGTTCTTTGCTCATTAAAGATGTAAATGATTTCATGCAGAAATGTTTGGTACTCTAGATTGTGTTCATGTTTAAGCATGAATTGACGAAAATATTGGGTTTTATTTGATTTTGATTTATGTTTTGTTTGATACAATAACTTGGAAGGTTGAAATTTCATTATAACATAATCGTTCTTGTTAAGATTAGATTTTCGAAGGTTCCTGAAGTATGGATCGTGACTTGAAAACATTGTAAAAATCTTCGCAAAATAAAAACAAGACATTTGAAACGAGAGTACATATGTATATTTAAATTATATAAAAGTAGAGTTTATACGAACACAGTTTAGACCCAGAATAAAGAACGGACTCAAAATTTAAAATAAAGAAATATGGAGACGGAGATGGTTTGTTTATGGTTATGGCTCCAAAGTTCGTTCTCATCCCTAACAAGCATCTTCATTCCTTTACCGAGTCTATTATGCCATAGACTTGAATTTGAAGCACTCTCAGCAACAGCAACTATGTTCATACACCCTGCAGTGGTGTATAAGGTTCAAGATTTTGTGTCACGTGCTACCACCATAGCACCCTTCAAAATCTTCCACGAACTCTTCCCAAACTTTGTTGCATAATCTGTGCTATCCAACTGACCAATAAAGATCTGGTTCTTCTTGAGACTAGGAATATATATGACATCCTTTAATGTCTACTGATTTCCTGCCATAGTTTTTATGCAGACATCCCCTATTTCCTTCAATCTTCAAATCTTTGTTGTTGGCAAGATACACTTTCTCGAAACTTCCAGACTTGAAATTTCAAAACAGCTCTTTATTTGGAGATAATGAAAAGATGCACCTGAATCCAAAATTCAAGATCCAATCGAACTATCTACGCTGAGGATTAGAGCTTCCCCAATGTCTTTCTTCTGAATGTATAGAATCATCGTCATCCTCTGATTTGTGATTCTGCTTCCTCTTTTTATAATCTGTCTAAAAGTGATATTTTTCTCCACAACTCCAACACTTTACGTTTGGTTTGTTTGAAGATTTTCCTCGGTTCCTTAATTTTGATCGTCCATTGTTTGGGCCCTTTGATTTACTTCTTCCCCTTCGATCAACACTGAGATCATTGCCTGATGAATCTCCGATTTCCCGTTAGCGAATACTTTCGCTAAGAACTATATCTTGAATTTCATCCAACTTTAGTTTATCAGATCCTCGTGAACTGCTGATCGCAGCAACAACAGTATCCCACGACTCAGGTAAAGGTGACATCAAAATCAATGCCTTAATTTCATCTTCGAAATTAATATCCACCGAACTCAGCTGACTTGTAATCATATTGAATTCGTTTATATGACCAGCAACAGATCCACCTTCAGACATTTGTAAATTAAACAACCTTCGCATCAAATACACCTTGTTCATAGCCGACAGTTTCTCGTACATATTCGACAGTGCCTTCAACAAATATTAGATTGTCTTCTCCTTGATAATATTGAACGTCACGTTTTTGGACAGTGTCGATCGGATCAACCCTAAGGCCTGACAATCCGGCTTCACCCAAACAGGGGTTCGTGAAGATCTTTCTGGTACAAACAATCTTCAATCTACATCTTCCCGATACTAAAATCGGATCCATCAAGCTTTTCAATTCCAATCTTTGAAATTTCCATCTTCACAGATCGTGGTGAATCTTGCCTTGCTCTGATACCAGTTATTAGGATCGCTCAATAACGTACACTCGATCAAGATGAACACAAAGAACAGGAGAGAAAAATCCAAGGAGCAATATAAGGTAAAGGTTTTATTGATGACTTATATGTACAAAGTCATTTTGGAAACACTAACTAATGGGATATATATAGGGTTTCAATTTAGTAAATATAAGTTTCAAACATTTAAACTTAAGAAATATAATCTAACAAATATATCTCTATCAAATCTTTACCAAATATCTACCATATATATCTCTATCATATCTTTACGACATTATATTTCCCAGTTTCAAAGATTTAAACTTACTAAATATAATCTAACAAATATATCTCTATTAAATCTTTACCAATCTACTATATATATCTTTAATATCTTTACGAAATATCTTCTAAATATATCTCTACCAGATCTAGATATTAGGCTCCATATCTCACACTTTGGCCCCAAATACTTCATATACATTAAAGTTGGTATATCAAGGAAGAGGATGGAAGTGATTGCATACCTTAGCATGTGATGTAACTCGAGTTATAGACCTTCAAAGTCAATGGAAAATCTATATCCTCGCCGAAGTAAACTCACTAGAATTTCTTATTGGTTAGAACGATTGAGACACTTTCAAGCCACGATTTCTTCATGAAACTTCTTCATATTTCCCTCAAGCTTAAGAAATTATTTTGAGTAGCTCGATCATCAATTTGAAATGAAAGGGACTATAGAAAGGAAATTGAAACTTACCCCAAATTCTACTCTAAACTGAAATCTAGAATTCATGCGTCTCTCGAGCTTATTAGTCTTCATGATCATTATAAGAATTATTCCTTGACAGTGAATGAAATGAATGTGATAGGTTAGACACGATGAATTGTGTTTAGCTTTTAATGAGGACTTAATTGGGGAAAGGGACTACGACCACTTTCAGCTCCGACTTATTCACAAAACTTATGGGCAACTTATGGGCAACTTGTGACCCATCACAAAACTTACTCCCTTTCATTCACTTACTAACAAAAATTAAATTTCGACCATGGGATCTAAAGTCCCTTGTGTCTACCGGTGGTGGTTCAAATTTGAGATGACATGAATGGTTGGATCTCAAATTAATATGAGATTTAATTTAATAAGTATGTATCTAAAAAATTTGAGAAAATGAGTGGCATTTTTGAAAATATTTTGAAATCTAAGGGCATTTTGATAATTTTCTTTTTTTTAATATATATTTCTTCTTTCTAAAGATTCAAGAAAAATTTCATATATATTTCTTCCCTAAAAAAATAGGAAAATTGATGTATGTATGCATATAATTTCATAAAACAGGAAAAAGGATCTTATTTAAACATGCACACATGCATACATTTCCCTCCGCTCCGTCTATTGTTCTTTGTTTAAATAAGATTCTCCGCCTCGTGCAGAGATGGGTTTTTGTGAGCCCCTAACTTTGTAGGTTAAATGAATATCTCTAGTTATGAACTCTTATCTGTGAGGGTTTGTCCTTTGATGATTTGCATGAACGAGAATGACTTGAGTACCCAATTCAATAGGAGTTTACCATTTTGGGGACTTGACCAAATAAGGAGGTAGGAACGTAATTTCAAGAGATGAAATTCAGAAGTATGTAAATGAGTAGAAAGCATTCTCAAATACTTATAAATAGAGCGCCCCATTCAAAATTCTCGAAAATTTTCGAACCGTATTTAGAAAGATTTTATGAAAGAATAGAATATTTAATGAGCGTTTTAGCCCATATTCGTTATTAATATGACGTGACATGTTAGTAAGAATAGTTTTAAAAATGTCATTAGTAGGGGATGGGAAGCCCAAGTCTCTATCATAGACCACATTTATTGATAAAATTAATTAGTTTCTAAATATTACTAACTAAAAAAAAAAAAAAAAAAGCTAAAAATAATTCATTAGTTCCTTTAATGACAAATAGGCTTACGTTTAGGGTGGCTGCTCGCATTGTGCTTAAAAATTTCCCCACCTAATCTATTTCTCATTTGAATTGGATTTGTTGGCTGCTATGTGGCCTTTTTTTTGGGTAGAGTCGGGATCATTGTCAACATATTCTATATCAAAAGAAATGATATGGTCCCTCGAATAATGTGATATCTCATACCGGATAAATCTTGCCTTCCACCTTTAGTTGCTGCTGGCCGCTCTTAGCTGCACAATCATTAACTTTAGGGCTTATTGAGAGATGACCCGGCTTGTTTAGCATTTTATAGGAGTGGATAACAGCAAGAAAAAGGATGAAGTATTAGCGTGAGACAGCAAACAAGAAAATGACACTAAACAAAACAGAAATGGAAAGACATAGTGTAGTTAAGGGGGACTCATCATGAGTATTTATTATTATACTCAATGCAAGCATCACTAAGGTCATAATATCTTTCTCCGGCAAAAGTATGAAAAAAAAGGGGGACCCATGTGAAGCAGACCAGCAACTAGGTACCAAGCTATCAACAGGCGGTTTTTCTTTTGGGCAGCTATTCACCATTGGATCTCATCATTCTCAGGATGTGTTTGTGGAGGGCCAAGGAGGGGGAACTATTAGAAATTGCGACTCTCCACAATAGTATGATATTGTCTACTTTGAACATTCATGGCTTTGTTTTGAGCTTCCCAAAAAGCCTCATACTAGTGAAGATGTATTCATTTACTTATAAACTCATGATCATTCTCTAAATTAGCCCAGGTGGGAATCACTCCCAACAATCCTCCCCTCGAACAAAGTACACTACTATGGAGCCCTCGAACAGCCTCCTCTTAATTGAGGCTCAACTCCTTTCTCTAGAACCCTCGAACAAAGTACACACTTGTTCGACACTTTAATCACTCTTGACTACACCTTCGAGGCTCGCAATTCTTTTATTTGAGGATTCTATTGTCATGACTAAGTTTAGGGCATGACTCTGGTACCATGTTAAGAATCACGACTCTCTACAATGGTATGATATTGTCCACTTTGAGATAAGCTCTCATGGCTTTGTTTTGGGCTTCCCCAAATGTCTCGTACCAATGGATGACTTTGTTTTGGGTTTTCCCAAAATGCCTCATACCAATGGATGACTTTGTTTTGGGCTTCCCCAAAATATCTCATACCAATGGAGATGTATTCCTTTACTTATAAGAGGGACCCGGACTACATATTAGAAAAGGGGGAGAAAAAAGCAAAAAGGGGAGGCTAGGAAAAAACGCTAATGAAGAAGATCTAGAAGGAGAGAGCGAAAAAGCAAAAAGGGGAGGCATACAAAAAACCATTGATGAAGAAGATCCAGGAGGAGAGGGGCGACCTCGTCTTGCTTGCTTTTAGTTGATAAATTTAATGAAGATAAGTTTGTAGAAGTAAGGAAATTCAGTTCTTTATTACGTGAAAAATGACTATATTTATAGGTCGTGGTTAACATAAGATAAATATAAAATACTAATAGAAACCAGAATATCATGCCAAGAA